TTCGGTGAAAGTGCTTCGACAAACATTAATGGCACCCAGCCATTAAACCCACGATACGCAAACAGCAAGATCGGCTGAGCCAACCTTGAACAAGCTGCCGCCACATTTAGGTATTTTGCCCTCAAAAAGATCGGCTGTTGTGTGATTTCACAGTCCTTTGACTCCGCCAAGCCGTCACGGGTCACTGTCACCTCTCTTCCCAAACTGACGGGACGGAGCTATCCTGTACAGTTCGCCAATGGCGTTCCTGATGCACGGCTTTACTCCAAAGAACCGAACAGTGGCTTAGTGGAAACACACCGGAGCCAGCGATGTGTCGTCAGCTTCATCGACGCACCCGAGTAAGGCTCAAGAAGCCTTCTGCATCAGGCTAAGGGGAAACTGAGTACCTTTAATGATTGAAAATGATTGGATGATTGAAAAAACACTTGCAACGGTGCTGATTTTTGACCACGTGAGGAAAGCAAATCCGCGACCTCTTGATGCACACAGGGCTCATCTTGCTTGGCCTGCGCGTGAGGAGAGAGGAGGGCATTTGAACCTAAGGATGTCTAAATTAATGTTTAAGTTTAAAGGGCCGGGGTATGAACTTCAACTTTCGAGATCTGGACGTAAACCCCAAAATCCTTCCAGTCGCTCCAGTTCTGGTCCTGGTGTCTCACCTTGAGAATGCGCCGAAACCAAAAGGCCCAGCGTTGGGCGTCTTTTGGTTTTGGAACCACTTCGAGCAATGACCCATGCCGGCCTCCTCGCCAACGTTGCGGGAAGCCATCGCTCAAAAGGGAAAGCCTCAGCTGTCGCATCGATCTCAGCTTCAGCACCCTGTTACCAACCCCTGGGCCATGAACAGGACCGACTCTGCCAAGTCCTGCCACGTCTCAAACCACCGCGGAGGAGGCCTGGAGAGTGCCGAACGTACATTTATGGCAAGTCATACCAGGTGACCTGGCAGTGTTAACCTGTCTTCTCGGCGGTTCCTTTCAACCCGGCCAAGTTAGGCCAAACCCTCCAACCCAGAAAGCTGCCAAACCGGCCCTCAACCGGACTGTAGTCACAATAGCTTCATGACCAAATTGAACGCTTGAACTGCCGCTTGATGAAAAATCCGAAAGCCGAAAGGAAGCAGCAACACCAGCAGCTCATGTTCCCACTGCCCACCCTCTTCAAATTGAGAAGCAAGCTCAGCTTCACGATGAGGCATGCCGCTTCGAGGCCTGGCCCGCCGAGTCCCCAATGCACATCCGTGCGGCATTGGTGGCTGGTTGGTGGTCAAATCCAACTCAGGACTACCACCAGGCGGTTGGTCATCTCTTCGCTCCATCCAGGGGCATCTAACAACCATCTTATATAGTGGACACGGATGGCCCTGGAGAAACTTCTTTGATCAAAGGATCAACAAAATACTCCTTCTTCAACGAATGTTGCTTGGTAAATCTGGATGGAGTTTCCCACTGGCCTCCTGAAACTGTTGAAGAAATAGCAGTTGGAGGGGGAAGCCGCACGTCTCTTTGCCTCATTCCTGGCCTGATGGATTTAGAAGATCTGATCCGGACAACTTCACCTCGGTGTTGCTGTGAGTGATGGATGAGAAAAGCACATGGATAAATGAGGTTGGACTGACAAGGAAGGTCCATCATCTGCCCCAACAAATGCGGCATCACAAAGCAACATCTAGTCACAATCTAGTCTTGAAGTCAGCAGCATGTTGATATATTATGGATTATGGTGCACGCTTGGATCAGCTCTTCCACTCTGAATGTGTGTGATGTGTGTTCGTTTGGTTCTTTCCAATTCAACACCTGAATGATTGAATCAGCTCTGGCAACAGCAAAGGCACCACATCGCTATAGCGCTACTCATGGCGCGATGAGTCCTCGCGGAGTGGCCAGCTTACCTGGTCGATGCGAAAAAAGGGCCGTGGAAGCATGCAGTACGGTTGGTCCAATAGGCAGGTGGTGAAACGTATCCCCAATTTGTGTTGTACATGCGTGTTATCATGCCGATTCTGTACTATTCAACATGATTCAACTATAGTCTTAATGCTTGGTGGAAGTAGTTGACCATAATTGACCCAGAACATGACCCACGACAAGCCATCATGACCATCCATTCCACCACCACGTCGTGCGAAACGCGCGTGAAAACAGCGCGTTGGCTCGGCCGCGTGCCCAGGTGCTGCATCAGGGCTCCGGGCACGTGGCACGTGGTAAACGGCGGACATCGTGAAGGCAATCGTTGGATCAAGGAGGATGAACGAATTGCAAGTATGGCTCTACATGACGGACACCTCATCAAACACGCAGGTGAGCAGGTGAGCCATTGCTCCTCCCCCAGTTCGCAACAACACCAGCTCTTTTAAGATCTTTTAAGGGTGTCATCACCGTGAAAAGCGCGATGCGGGCTGCTTCTGTTAGGGACAGGGGTATGGGAGAAAGTATGACTGAATGGAGGCCAAGCAGCATCCTCATCTAGTTCAGTCAAATCCTCAGAAGCGGGAACCCGGAGGATTATAAACCAATTGAGAGTCAGCCATGAATAGGTGCATGCTGGTGCATGTCATTAAAATATGCATATGTCACTGAGTATGTCATAACACAATAATATTTTCATTTGTTTCAGCTGCCACTGCAGAAATCACATGGACATGCGGGTTGCAAACGTCTAATTCCTTTGCCAGCAAGTGGGGTGCTAGATTTGCGTGGCGGAGAAATCCCACATTTGTTACCCAAACACTCCATGTATGCCATATATGCCGCCCCATTGGCCCCCCAAACCACCCCAATGTAAGTAGACATATATGGCAGCCCCATGGAGTGTCTGGGTTATGTTAGGTCACTTGTTGGGTGTCACATGGAACATGGAGATGCATAGAGCCCTTCCTTTCTCCCGATTTTCCGTTTCCTGTCGTGGTCGAAGGCGAACGACTGCGTGAAACATCGACTCACGATTTTCTGAGTTCGGATGAAGCATGATGAAGCTAAGGTCGTGGCAACGAGGGTTCTGGGCGGATGCCAAGCTTTCGCACCATCATGCAGCCTAAAAGGTCCGGTGCCAGCGCCAGAATCACATCCTCGCGGCACATCACCATCTCTGCCGGAATTGCCCTTCACCTGCAAGTGATGCGATCAGCCAATGGGATGGATGGAAAGCGGCAGCAGGGCACCCCTTAGACGTACATTCCCCAGAATCGTGGACGTGGATGGCCATCCTCTAGGATGACAGGGCCATCCTCTAGGAACAGGTGTTGAACTCTACTTCCATGCAGCGTGCGTACCAGGGAGTGTTGTCAGTTCAATGTCCATCTGCCGCGTAAGATCTTCCAATGCAGGTCTTCATGAAACGAACAGATCAGCTCAGTGTTTTTCGTCAATTTTCATGCAGGATTGGGCCACAAAACATGCAGGTTACAGGCTCAAGATGCAATCACTTGCTGAGATACACACATCCGATGAAAGTAGTAGCCCCTAAGCTTCTAAGCTTGGAACCTATAGTAGACCCCCAAATAAATAGAAAAGTAGATCCCCACTAGAAATGCATTGGAAACCATTTCTATTAAACCATTTCTATTTGGGGGACCACTTGATTGGGGAAAATGATTGATACGTCATGATACATCTATAATAGTCAAAGCATGTCGAAGCCAAGTAGTGAGAGCAAGCCATGCATCGATGTCTTTTGTGGTCTTGTGTGGTGGATCAACAAATCACTGCACTTCCCCACTTCCCCTCGTCGGCCCTTGCTTCACCTTGCTCCATCTCGGTCACTCCGTCCTGCACCTCAGCCCCACACACAGTGTGGTTTGGTGTGGTGCTGGCAACTGCACCAAATCTCCACCAAACGTGTTTCCAAGCAAGGTTGCCCCCCAAGTCTGTTCCCTTTCCGTTGTTCGAGATGAAGGGAAGGCAAGAAGTCTTTTCTCAGAATTCCCAAGAACAGTTGCTTTCGGTGCTCTATATATGTATGCGTCTCCAAACGATCCTAAACGTGCTAGCAATACACTCCAAGGCCGGCTAGTGAGTGGAGACCACCCCCTACAGTATCAGCCCTACTCGTGAGACCAATATGTTTTCTTCTTCCACACGTCATTGAAGCATTCAACTGAATGGAAACCTCCAAAACCACACCTCAATACCCCTTTTGGGGGGTAATAGAACACCCTTCACTCTTTTGGATGCCCTTGGAGAGCTGCCCCGCCACGCACCACTAACAGCTGCAAGCCTCCTGCCTCCTCCTGGGGTCCACACTCCACGACTACTGCTCGGTCCCATGGGCCAAACGGTTCCGGCCGAAGGTCTGCGACGTGAACAATGTGTCGTCTGCGACTGAGAGTGGTTGTCGTCCAGCCGCATGGATTTGTTGATTTCCGCTTGACCTTCTCTCTGATGTTCCTGGATTTAGCTGATTTTTGGGCCGCTCCAAGGTCAAATGCCTGCGGCAGCCTTGTCTTCATGCGTGAGTGACTGATTCTTGGAACTGCCAACATGCTGGTGAGATGTGGACTGGTTTCTGTTCTATGAATAAATTTTGGATGCGATTGGAATATTGTAGTCTAGTTGATTTGATTGATGTTGTGTGGGTCGTTTATATATTCATGCAGTACATCAATAGCTTCAAATTGCCCGCACTTTTTTGTGGAACAGACTGTAATCAAGATCCTCATGCGCGGTTTCATCAAGCATTAACAAGTCATGTTGCATATAATGCTGAACAGGATTGACTAGGCATCAATTCCGCTATAGGCATCTCCTCTCTCGCTGGGGTGTGGCTATGGCCGGGCCAGACCACCAAGACACCTGGAAAAGAAAAGACACAGAACCTCCGACAAAGCCACGAATATCTCCAGTCACTTGAGTCCCTTCCCCAGTAACTTCCCCCGTTCATCTTTTCTTCCATGGTCAGGTCAGGTCTCCTGTGATTCTGGGCATGGCCGGTCTTCCTTGGTAACCCTTCGTCCCAGTCGCTCCGACCCCACGAGTTGGTCTGGCGCGGTCGTCGCTTTTGCCGAGACAAGTTCGGTCTTAGATCCAACGAGAGCCACGGAACCCCGTGCGGAGCCACGTTCCGCGGGCCAAACGAAGCACTGGGGCTCAGGGTGTGGGGCGAAGCGAAGCTCCAGCTGAAGCAGGCTGAAGCAATAAAGTTTGAAGAACCAGTGTGACACCTGCAGGGTGAGCTCCGGCGCCGCTGGGAGGAGAAGAAGAAAGTAAGTAGCCAGCCCATGGATTTCGGAGATGAATGAAACGCGTATGTTGAAACGCCAAGCCAACTTCATTCCCTGGAAAACCTGACTCCCTCAGATTCCCTGGAAAATGATGAAAGGTTAACAAACTGCACCTGTTCTGTCTGTCAAGCCTCTTTCGGTGTCTAGTGTGGTTTCCCCAATCCATCCCACTCCCCAACCATTACCACGATCAGGTTTTGCAGGTTATCTTCTGACTGGGTATGAGCCCGAGGTGGGTTCAGTGAGTGCCTAAGTCTTACATAACCCAAGTCCAAAGCACCGGTTCTGTCTGTCATGCGTCACGAAGTTTAGAACTTGTTCAACAGGGCGCGTCACGACCCACTGAATAAGGTCAGGCGGGGTAAGGTCAGGAGTTCGCCCCTCCCGCAGATGGCGCCCGCACCTGATTCGTGTCTCACGGTCAACTCGGGTCGTTTGGACTGAGGTGCAGGTCATACGGAGGTGAAGGTCGATCGGCACCACCGCCGGTCCTCAACGAAAAAGCACGACACGCACAGTCGACGGTTCGGTGCAGTCAACCAAGTGCTTCGTCAAGTCTCAGAAAAGGGTCTGGTGCCTTCCCTGGAAGCCAAACAATCTATTAGTCTAAAGCACCATCTTAAACCCGACAGGTCCGAAGGGAATTGTGGAATTCACAGGGGTTTTCATCCCTTTTCTGACTCACTTCTCAGAACGGCCCCCAAGGTCGTTCCAAACGTGGCCAGCGTCATTTCTTCCAAAGACTCCCATCGCATCCAACTCGCATCGAGCTCGGTCTATAGGTCGACACGGTATGATGACCAGGTCGGCCGTGGTCAGAGCTGCGAATCGATGGTCAGGGCGACCTGTCGACGGCGCGTCAACGGATGGGGGGGAAGCAAGATCAAGATCGGTCTTTGAGATGGTTTGAGGTTAAAGAGTGTTTTATATAAAGCTCTGCTGTTTCTTAAAGAGGCTTTTGGCATCTTATGGCTTCCACTTTGCGCACTGTGTGGGTTTGATTGGTCTTCCGCTACTAATCGAACTTCTTCGAAAAAGGATCTGTTTTGCCCGGCCACATGCTACACATTGATCCATATAGAGTTGCCGACTCGACGACGTGAACCGATGCGAAGCGACGTGAAGCGGACTCGATTGCTGGAACGCCAGGTGTCCAGTCCAACGGTTGCAGGGGGTACTCCACCGTGTCATGGTCTCCTTGTAAAACGTTGGTTGGATCCCATGGTCTACCATCGGATCCAGCATCCCAAAAGGCATCCTGGACCGGGAGAGCAGGCGTTGGTCCCCGTTCTCATGGCGGTGACACCCAAGTTTGGGCAACCTTGCTGGGAAGTGGGACAAATACACTCCGACTCACTAACATGGAAGTGGAAAACCCACCGTTTGTGGAGGAAAGTAGTCTTCGATTCCAAGGGGCAATTTTATCCACTTCCATGTTAGTGAGTCAGAGTGTAGATAGATGATGGTAGATGTGAGATGATGTGAGAAAAGCCATTCTATATCGGGGTGGTTCATGAACACCCCTTGACCTTCTGGGCTTTTAGTGGACACCCTTCCGTGCTGCTGGGGTCCTTGAGGCGATCTGCCATCCCAGGCGCCAGCCGATGCACCCGCCGGCGGCGCTCGCCCGGTGACGTCCGACCTCAGCGGTGCCGCCCGAGGAAGCGCTACCTGGTCGTCTCGGCGAGAACCGAAACGACCCGCCAAGATCCTCCAACGTTACTTCACCTGGGTCGTTTTTGGTGTACAGAGCAGGAGGGGGGGGAATGGATGTGAATGGTCACAAACATCTCTCCAATAATGCTTCCAGCATGCTTCACTTCTATGTTTGCGAATGGCTTGCACCAAGCCCTGGACCTCAGCCGGGAAGAGGCCTCTTCTGCACTTGATTCATTGCCGCAAAAGGATGCAAAAGGTATATATCTTTGTGCCCATGGGTGGCTATTTCAGAGCCAGGACGTCTGCACCCACCGTCTTCCCGATCTCTGCCGAGTCTCCGCAGCTCGCAGCAACGGTGTCAGGCGTACCATGCGGTGGGCGCCTGTGGTTGGCATTGGCATGCAGCTCTGGACGAGATGCAAAGTGCAGCTCCACAGTCCTAAGCAACGGAGAGGGGAAAAAACTCACACTCCCTTGAGTCTGTTTCCGACTTTGAAACTGACATCCCCAGATGCTCCATGGGACTGCCATAGGACTGTCGATCAGGCCAGGGGTGGTGCCAGGGGCGTCAATGGGGCGGCATCTATGCCAGTCCCATGGAGTGTATGGGATATGGTTCCCAGTGGTTCCTAGGTCGTCCCCGTTGCCCCCGTGGTTTTGCTCCGTCCCAATGCGCTGGGAGAGACACGAACGTCACGAACATCCCCCATGTGGGCTGCATGTTGCGGCAAATCTGCTCACTTAGCAGTGAGAAACTCAGTGAGAACTATAGCCCAAAGCTATATAATTCACCACTGGACGTTCCTGTTCCTGTGGGGATGAAACCATCCAAAGCTTCAAGCTGGCCAAAAAGTTGGCTCGATTAAAACGGATACATTCCAGCAAATCCAATTGAACTTGATAATTCAAATGTTCCGTCTGTAGCGCCTAGACCAAGCGCATTGTTCGGTTAGCAATGGCTCAGCCGCTCAACCACACTGGAAAGGGAGCCAAAATGAGCAACACCCCGGTGTGAACATCTCCCGAACAGTCTGGCGCCCACATTCTCCGAACAGTCTGTCGCCGCGAGGCCCAGCGAGGCCCAGGCCATCAGCGTGAGCTTCATGGAAGGCATGCACTTTGGCCCTGGGCGGGCGTGAACACGGAGTTTGGTCTTCCGTTGTTTGGCCACAGGCTCTACAGGAGCTCATTGTCATTTAGACATCCGCGCCATCACGTTGTATCGATGGCCTTTTTGGGACACTTCATGACACTGAGCTGCACCCTTGCACTCTGGCCGAAACACCACTTCGCACTGAGCTCATGCACCCTTGCACTTGGCCAAAACACCATGAACATCCATGAAACCTCTACCAGGACCTTCAAAGTGACATCTTTGGAGTCTCTAAGTGACCTTGTACAGACCTAAGTCAAGTGACCTCATCCTGGGATATCAAAGGGTCACTTTGAAGGTCCTGGTATTTGGAAATTGGATGAACTTGGCTCTTCCGGAGCACCAAGGCCTGCCATGCTCGTTTCGCCCAGCGGCCGGTGGGCGGTGGCGGCCGCCAGGGCACCAGGGCACCAGATCAGGAACCGATCTCGTCGTGCCTGCCACAGGAACTCGCCTGCCGATGGCGAGATCGACTGGCCCAGGTAGATCTTCAGGGCAAATTCTGCCCTCGCTGGATCTTCTGTTTCATTCACTTTCTGTACTTCTGTTGCCCATGTCATGTCAAAGGTTGGGACTCCCCTCCAGTGATGAATTGCAGCCCTCATGGATCCGCCCCAGGTTCCAAAACAACAATTGCTCTTGAAGCATCTGAAGCATCACTCAATTCCACGTGATGTGCACCCAGCACCCACCCCCAACAAGTTTCAATGCCGCAAACCAGACTTACAGTAACAAGATGGAACCCACGAACCCGAATGCAAGCACGTTCGAAAAACTAATATGTCCAAATGACACTCTTGTAGGACACTCTTGTGGGACACTCTTCTGGGACACTCTTGTAGGACACTCTTGTAGGACACTCTTGTGGGTCACTCTTGTAGGAAACTCTT